AAGTCTGGTGGATTCACAACTTGAACTAGTGTGTGTGTGCAGTAATGCTCAGTGTGTGTGTGTGTGTGTGTGTGTGTGTGTGTGTGTGTGTGTGTGTGTGTGTGTGTGTGTGTGTGTGTGTGCACCTTGTGCAGCCACAAAGGTAGCGTGTGTGTATGTACGGCCGCCCAGCAGTATGAGTCCACATAAGCCGCCTGCCTCCAGGAGAAGTTAGAAGGTGCAAAACAGCTGATCTGAGTACCTGAGAGAAACACAAACAGCAGACAAACAAAACATTTGGTCATGTGAACGTCTTTAACAGATGTCCCAACTTCATGAAAGGAATCGACTACGACCCAGAGGAGCTGCATGTGAGAATGCAAAAGTCTGAATCAGTCCATTCAGACATTAAATGTACTTTAACCTGCAAGCCCCCGGGTAAACATTAGGTTTCTTGAGTTAATATGTGAAAACATTACAATGTTCTTGGCTTTAGTCCTGGCTCCATACTGCGCCACAACTCACCGACTGAAACTTCTTGAGCGAACGCCAGAGAGATGAGGAGGAGGGGCAGGCCCACTGCCACACATGTCACCATCTTGTCCACAGCCAGCTCCGTTCGCACACTGCGGTATCGAGCCTGGTTCGGATCTTTCAGCAGAAAATCACTGAATACGTACTCTGTAGCCACGTGGGCGATGGCCATCTTACTGTTGTTTGTTACCTGCAGAACATAAATACACCTGCAGACACAAACAGGACAAAACCCTTCTTTTAAATGTTTTGGATCAATGAAGTGTCTATGATGCTGAAGGAGAAAGGACAACGTCTGCAGGTCTCTTTGACTTTGTGCCAGGCAAATTTTAATTATAGATTTCAAATAAGGTGTCACTAGTTTCTCTCTAAAGAGACTGCTGTAGTCCTAAGATGAGAAGTCTGGTGGCTTCACACCTTTCAATAAGATACTGATGATATTTAGGATGTTGTTGATGCTGATTAAAGCTGTTTTTTACACTTACTGATGTTGTCTCCTCCTCTCTAGATCCCTACTTGTGTTGTTCTTACTCCTTGATGTACGTCGCTTCGGACAAAAGCATCTGCTCAATGAGCTGTTGAACTTCAAGCACATTGTTCATTTCTTATAAACAACCAGTAGATTGTGTAAAATCAAAACTGCAGATACTCAGAAAATTGAGAGCTGGACAACTTCTGACCAGTAAAGCTGCAATAATTGGTAAAACAATCAATGTTTATATGCGTTTTATCTTATGAGTTATTTTTCAAGCTAAACTGTCAAAACAATGCTGGTTTTGAGCTTCTTAACTGTGAGGTATAAAAGCTTCTCTTTGACCGTCATTATAGTTAATAAAGGTTATTTTGCATTCAGCCTGATTGTTGGACAAAATGGCTATTTAAAGACGTAACTTGTAAATGTAATAAGCATTATTTCACAGTATTTTGACACTCATGAACTGAATTTCTCTTAATTAAGACAATCTGCAGATCTGTCAATGGCCAAATAAATGTTTAGTCACCTGCAAGTTAATAACTGATGTGAATATTTACTTTACTAAAATTCATCATAACTTCATTTGATTCACAGCTTTTTTTTGCATCCTATTCCACTTAAACCTGCAGATAGATAGATAGATAGATAGATAGAGAGATAGAGAGATACTTTATTGATCCTGAGGGAAATTCAAATCATCCAGTAGCAGGTTACAAAGACATGACATGAAACATTTGTTACAAATTAACCACAAAACAGACGCCCCCCCCTCACATACATATATATTAACCTGAAAAAAAGATTTAAAGAATACCTCTAGATGAATCAAACTTAAACTGTGCAATTAAAAAATAGACTTATACAAGAAATGTACATAACCCATGCAGGGATAAAAATATATGTGACATTTAAACAAGAAGCTAAAAATCTGTAATTAGACCTGAATATAAAAAATAAGAATAAAAAAGTGTTGACTTGTGAAGTTGTGAAATGCAACCAAAAAGAGTGCTTAATGTCAATCAGCTCAAAATGTATGTTATTAGTAGTACACATAAACTGGTTTAAACTATTATCAACTCTTTCCTGATAGTTGTTGTTGTTGTTGTTGTTGTGCTTTTTCCATAGCAACCCTCTGTGGTTTATCAGTAACACAGCATTTCATATCCATCACCACTTCGTTGCAGCTGTGGTTGGTCTGTAAGAATTTCTCGTGGTTAAAAATAGTAGAAGATGTAACTTTACTCTGTTTATGAAGCCAAGGCTGAAAACAACCCGTGACTGTCTTTCCCACATCATCACACTGACTTCTTTGTTAAACTGGACATTGTTTTTTTGTTTTTTTTGCAATGTTTAGAAGCAGATTTTAGTTGATAATATTTTATATCTGGTTATATTTTAGTGAATTAATCAGCTTGTTCAAAAGCTGCATTCTTACTTAACGAGCCATAAGATGTGAAAATGAATTAAAAAATCAGCGTAAGCTGGTTATGAATACTGTAAAGCGGGAATATGAACCTGAACGTACCTCTCAGTCTGCTCCTGTAGTCACTAATTTATATGTTAAAGTGTCATGTCAGCAGTAGCATAGCTTCGTGCAGCAGCAGTAGTGACTTTAAGTTGTTTTCCAGGTATTTGGCTGAGAAAGAGGCCGACGAGACACTCAACAGATGCAACAACAAACACACTAAACTTTCGAGTCGACTTCCTGTGAGGGAAAAAAACTCCTTCCGCCCTCTTTAGAAACAGATGCCTTCAGGAGCTGATCGATAGCTCGGATTTAACAGAGTCTACTGTTGGATTCACATGCAGCTCGTATTGGCACATTCTGATGTCGACTTCACATTACTGATGGCCAACAAGGGCTTTTAAAAAATGAAAAATAAAAATTTTAGTTTAAGACTCAAACTACACAGCCACAAAAGATCCATGGGATGTCAAATAATATGGATATAATGGAGTTACGGCTGCAAAAATATGGTAATAATAACTGCAGCCTATTGCTATAATTGCAACACATGATGAGAAGTTTAAATGTGAAACTGAAATAAATTGTTTGTGTGACTCTCATTATGTTACTGTATGATTTCTCATATTGGTTTGGTCGTCACTCTGGTGACCAACTTGGCAATGTTTTAAAATCTACAAGAATATGAAAATAAATACCTGTAACAATTGAATTGATGTATTTTTGTATAAATTCAACAATTATGGGGATTTGACACTATAATAGCCTTTAAGATTCAAAGGATGGTTCTTTTATTTGCAATGTTGCAATGTTATAAACTCTATATGGATTACTGTTTTATCAGGGTTTTAGTTGAGCCAAAATGGTGATGTGAAAATGCAGAAAACACTAGACCATATAAAAATAAATCATGTGTCAGTCCCAGATTGACACGATTTATTTTTTTTATTTACTCTTAGAATTAGGGCCAGGCATGAGAATTAAAAAACGATGGGAGAAAGATTTGTTTTCATTATGCACTCTGAATAAAAAGTTTCAATGTCTAAAATAAAATTGAAATTTGTCAAACTTATATTTCGACTTAATTTCAATTAAATTCTCCATATTAACATTTTTTCTGAACATTTTGATTTTATTTTCAAGATTGTTTGTCAACTTTATTCTTGACATTACACTACTAAATGTCCATGTTTTTTCCCTCAACAGTTCCACTTAATTCAGGACATTTGGATTATTTTTCTAATCATTTCAACATTGTTCTCATCATTTGGATTTTCTTTTTCTCGACATCACGACTTATTTTCTCATTCATATTCTAGACATTTTGACTGCTTCTTCTCTAAACTTTTTTTATATTGCGTAATGGAAAAAAAACATTCCTTCTCACATTTTTAATTTCTAATGTCTGCCCTAAGACATCTTCCGTAAAAATGGGATTTCACGCCTTTTTATAAAAAGTCAGTCAGTCCCTGAAGGCAACATCCAACAAACCAGCATGACAATCTACGCAGCATGCAGCAGGGTTGAGAAATAGAAAGAAGTAACTGGTTTCATCTTAACAATTACAAATGTTTGCACAGAAATAAGAGGTTATATAAAACATCCGTTTTCTATGCATCCTTAAACCGACATAAGCTTAGTTAAATCTTTAAGAAAAAAGCTAAATATTGCTCTTTCGTTATCAAAATCCGAAGACGCATGAGAACAAACGCAAAGACCATTTTGAACAGTTCTGGATGTTGGTGTATCGCGTTGAATTCTGGGCATTTCTAGCTCTGCCCTCCCTGGTCCTCCCAACTTCTTGCAGCTCCATCAAGTTGCTATAATTTCTGCACAATGACGACGGAAGTAGAATAAGATAAGATAAGATAATGCTTTATTTATCCCACAATGGGGAAATTTACATTGTTACAGCAGCAAAGACTGCAGATAAAAAGGGGAACACAGTACAATTTAAATAAAAAAAGAACAATTAAGAATGTACAAAAAAATAAATACTAAAAAATAGATTTAAATAATAAATATTAAAAAATAGATACTAAAAAATAGATTTAAAAAATAAAGAATAGATCAGCTATTGACAAAAGTGTAGTCCGTAATATTCCGTGTAACACAGACATGCACAAGTGTAACATGTTACTGCACAAAGTGGATGGTTAATCATAATATAACATTAATATAAACATTATTATTGCACAATGTCAGAGTGAATTGTCCGGTTGTGTTTTGTGACCTACTGGGAGCAGGCTTGGTTAAACAGTCTGACTGCAGCAGACTATTTGTCTAAAATATAAGCATTAAACGAGTATCTCGAGGAAACAGAACAAATATATATTCACGTTAAACTAGTTAATTCATTAGAAAGAACAGTGTAAATAGTGATATTGGATTTGTGCATCATTCATCTTTGGTTGTTTCTTTGACTAACTCGGAAAGCACGAAGAACGCGGTTTTATTTTGAAAATCCTAACCGGAAACTGAGCGCTTGTGTGCTTCCCAGCTTGACACCGGTAGATGCTTCACTCCCTCCATTCATTTCATTCGCACACAGTCGCATCCCAGCAGCGAGCCCTCCCCTCCTGTTCGTCTCCGCCTGGAAAGATGGCTGCTCCGGTGGTGGTGGTGAGTAGCTCCGGCCCGGCGCTCTGCCCGAGCTTCGCGGAGGTCTGTTCGTTCCTGGAGCGCTACGGAGCCGCGCTGGATCTGCCCGAGATGACTTTTCCTCAGATGGAGAGGTATCTGCGGGACACGACGGCAGGTAAGCGATCGGGGTTATCAGTGGGGGGCGAAGAAGAAGAAGTGGTAGAAAGCTGCGACACTTGAAACCGAAGGAGAAGGGGGTCCACCAACACCACCACCATCACCCACCATCATCATCATCATCATCATCGTGAGGATGAGGAGGGTGACGAAAAATTGTACAGAGTGTGACCCCCGGTTGAGCAGCAGTTTAGTCAGAGTTTACCTTCCAGTTGTTGTTTCTGAACGACACTTTCACCAAGAAAGGAAAGGCAACCCTTTTTTTTCGCCAAGTTTGTAGTCAACATTTCGGGCAAAGAAAAAAAAAGCGGAGTCGCCCCTCTCTGTATTTTTACACTCTTGGAGGCTATGTTGAATGTTTGTGTTTTGGGGGGGGGGGCAAAATCTAACCAGCTTGTGGTTACACTCAAGTGACAGGTTCAGGATAATGTTGTCAAGGCTGTTATTGATCTATGAAGGCGAAACTTGGTGTGGGAGCCATGATGCAGCACAGCCCCAGTGACCACACACAGCCAACCAGCTCGCTCCGGAGTGTTGTCAGGTGTAATTTTTTCACCGGCCTTGCCTCACAGGCAGTCGGATTGGAAATGACATCAGTGTCCCCCTTTGTTTTCCGTGTCGACCATGTGCTCACGGCAGCGTCATCCCCCTCCTTCGATCTATATTTTACACGGCTGTCAAAAACTAAGATTGCTGATGATTTGCTAAAAACAGTGGATGTTATTTTTTTTGTGCCATTGGTAGAGAGAGAGAGAGAGGCTGTCAGATATGCGCATGCGCAGTTTTGTGGGGGGGGGAGAACAGTAGCTGCTATGGTGCTAACCACTTAGCACCAATAATTCCGGAAACTTTCAGCCGAATAAAAAAAAGGAGGCTTCAGAGTAAAATTTTGCAGCTTTAAAATGTTACAAAAAGAGAAGTTTCAGAGTCACAACTGTCGTGTTAGAAGCTTTAAAACCCTTTTCAGGTAGTGTAGCTTGTAGGCTACATGCTACTGCCTGATCACCGTTACTTCTTCATGTAAACTTTTATACTAAGTTAGATATTAAAGTTATTATTGGTTTAATAGTTAAACAATTTCTCTGACACTTATTGATTTACTGATTATTAATTAAGATTAATTTGATCATGTTAGCAGAGGAAACTAATTTCTTGGGCTCATAAAAATCTCAGTTCAGATTATTTATTTAACTCCTGTTTATTTATTTATTTTTATTTTCAGTATTATTATTTTACAACACATAATAAACAATCCTCAGAAGACAGCCAGGCTCGTCATAAGAAACAAGATGCTTCACATTATATTACATTATAAACATTTATACGGGGGAAAAGATAAGAGATGGGTTACTCAGGAGTGGGAGAGTCTTTGGTTTGTTTCAGTCCCAGTTCCTCTTTTTGTTGTCTATGAGGTCCAGGATCTCTCATGTGAGAAGGAATCAGAGTATTTCTAAACACATCTGAGCCTTTTTCATTTCTTTTTCATCCCTACTGCTGAGTGAGGTAAAATTGTTCGGTTGTACTTTTAGCTACAACATTACCACAGTTATAAAAGTTTTGCAATAGTCGTCAAACACAGAGGTCACATAATTCCTTGTGTATTCCTGAATATAAAAGAGAATGCATTGAAAATAGTATGTAAAGGTGAAAGGACATTCTCTTTCCTTTTTGCCTCACAAACAGGGCCAGGATGAGATCAGGAGAGTGTCGGCTGACTTCAATTATTAAGAGCAACACAGCAGAATAACTTTGTGTTATGACTTGTGGATTTGTAGTGAATATTAATGTTTATGCTAAACTGTGTTGTGATTAAAATCATCCTGTGTGTTTTCCAGTGCCCAAACCTCTTGTGGAGCTCCACGTAAAGCTGCTCAGAAAACTGGGGAAGTCTGTGACTACAGACCGCTGGGAAAAATATCTTGCTAAGGTGAGGGCTCTGTTTATGTACATATGTGTGTGTGTGTGTGTGTGTGTGTGTGTGTCTTTGTGTTGTATTTGGCCCCTTAGATTTCTTTCAGAATGCACTTGACAAAAGTAAACACTCAGCCATTAATAACACAAGATTTCTCTGGATGTTTGTGAACTTGCTTCCACTTAACAGGTTTTCAGTCAAATGTCTCACCTGTAACTTCAAACCTCCCCCAAAATAAATTGTGCAAGAAAGGGAACGTGTCAGCAGGGATTCAATTTTCTGATCTAATATGAATCAATGATGAGGTATTCTACATGTCGAGCCCCTTACCCAAGCAAGAACAAGTTGTTAAGCTGCATGAAGATTTTTGAAAGGGAGCCTAACAACTGCCCCAGTTGATGCCCCATTTATTATTGAGCAAAAAAAAACAATCTGAATAGAATCATCATTATAGTATTAGGAGCATAGTTACGCTGACATTAGCAAGTTTATTAAAAAGGTCAACACTGAACACATTTCATTTATTTTATGAGTATTGCAATGATGTGATCGAACTGATTTCCAGTCACAAATTGCTCAATAACTATGACTCAACCTTCATAAAATGCTAAGTTGATGTTTAAAGTTTTTTTGCCGGTAAACATTCAGCCCCTGTTTTGTCATTTACTGTAGGATTGCATATTATGAAAGTATCATATTACAGAAGACTAATACCTTGTGGTGCTTGAGTGATATGGTCATTGTGACCTTTCCAATAACTGTAGAGCTGTGGTTTTGTTTGGTTAACAGATTGAGAAACATTGAAAGAGAAAGCAACATATGAGAAAAGATTCAGTTAGACATGGCTATGTGTTTGCACTGATTATACCTGATTATGTGTCCTGTAGGTTTGCCAGGAGCTAAACAACACCTGGGCATGGGAGCTGGAGCAGAAGGGCTACCAGGAGATGTCCATGGAGTGCAAGTCAAGTATCCTGAAAGTATGACATACTCTGTTTTTACCTCATGTTCCACATCTGCAGTATTATTCTGTTCTGTCTTTTCACCCTTACACTCCTTCCTCCTCCTTGGTTACCCTTCAGTATCTCTGCGAGTGTCAGTTCGATGAGAACCTTAAGTTCAAAATGGTGATCAATGAGGAGGAGCCGGAGAAGATGCGTCTGCAGCCTCTAGGTCGGGACCGGCAGGGCCTGATGTACTGGCTTCAGCTGGACCAGGAGCAGAATATACGGCTGTACACAGAGGAGCAGGACGATCTGGATGGATCCACCTGGAAGTGCATTGTCAGGTAGTACACCGCTCATCAGCTGTTTTCAAACATTCACTCCTGAAAATCTCAAGAAACTTTCAGGACGACATGCCCCTGAAACCTTCCTGAGGCGTAATCACATAAGTCCCTCGCAGCGTGAAGTTTTACTTCTCCAATGGTTTCAGAAGGCAAAAAATAATGTTATAAACGTTTATAAATATATATTATATTATAGAGCAGAGATGAAGAACATCCAGGTGAGAAGAAGAAAGTGTGAAGCAGCTTCATTGAGTGCTCACAAAGTCATACTCTTTTACGTCTCATCAACCCGTCTGCTTGCTTGAAGGGAATTTTCCCGGATATTTTTTCAGGATTTTTTAGGAGTTTCGTACATGTGTGAAAACACAAAGATGATGCTGATACCAGTACAGTCTGTAGTCTTTTTTCTGCTTTTAAAAAATGATCTAGTTTGCATCAATCTTTAAGTTATTTCCTTTGGAGGGTTAGAGGGGATTTGAAGGTTAATGTTATCTAAAATAAATTCCTCAGGATAGTCGTACTAGTTCACCACTTTCTGCTCAAAGTCTTTTTTTGTTTTTGCTTCCCTCTTCGAGTGACATGTTTAAACTACTCCTCCACTCTGTCTGCTCAGGTCACGTAACGACCTGGCCGATGCCCTGGAGCTGCTTAAGGCCCAGCTTGATCCAAAGGAAAAGGAGAATCCAGATCAGGACCAGAACCAGAACCAGAACCAGGTTGATCCCAAGAGCAACAGCCTCACAGAGAAAGATGCAGGTATTCTAGGTGAGTGTGTGAACAATGCTTTGGATCAGAGGGTTTATGGTAATGTTCTACAATGTGCCAAGAGTCATCAGATGTGTAATAATAACTTTAAACATACATTTATTTATAGCACCTTTAAAAACAGTTATTCTTAAACAGCAAAGACAGGAGCTCAGGAAGATAACAATTAGACCAAACAGAAAGTAGTCTCAAAAAATTCAACAAAAAGCAGGAATTCAGTCAAAAGGTCATCAAGAATAAATGCACATAACAGGAATAAACGTGATCTGAACAGGCAGATCTGCAAAAGCAGTTAAAGTAATACAGTAATACAAATCAAGGAATAACTAAAAGTATAAAATCTAAAAGGGAGAGGACATCACATCAGAGGAAATAAAAAGATTTGGAGCAGTAAGAAGAATAAAGGATACGTTAATAAGTTAATAAATAAAAGCAATACAACTATAAAGTAAAATAAGACTAGGACATCAGAAGAGGACGTACCTTAAGGATTGGTTCCAGTAGTAGTAGTGGTACATGAGGTGGTAGTAGCCTTTTTGTGTGTGTGTGTGTGTGTGTGTGTGTGTGTGTGTGTGTGTGTGAACATGCACAAAACTCTTGAAAATGTCACAACATTTTCTGGATTTGCTGCATGTTTTAACCCAAACAGCAGAATTTAATCTTCAAGCCCCCTAACAAAATTTCTGAGTGAAGTCAGGGTGAGCTTCTGTTTGGACACATCAGGAAATGTTAAGTAAACTTAATCACTGCCAGGTTGATGACATTTATATCATGAGACCGCTTCGTACTATTTTCTGTTTGCGAGTACGTTCCTTTTCCACTCTTTTTGTTGATACTGTAAATACATTCAGTTACACTTCAGTTATCAAAAGGCACAAACTGTCAATATAGTGCCATGTCGTCCTTTTTACATCCTGAACCCCCCCCCCCTCGTTCAAGTAGGGAAGTCTTCATGTGAGATGCTTATGTGAATATGCAACTCAGGGGAAATCTGTCTTGAAGATTTCTAGACATTTTCAGGAGTGCATGTGTGAGAAAAGGCTTATGTGGGTTATCATGTCTTAGGTGATGAGACCGTTGAAGGCACCAACCCAGAACCAAGCAAGAGCGCAAAGGAACACACTGGTATTAAGACGGATGATGCTGCAATTGAAGAGGATCCCTTGAGACAAGGTAAAATAAACTACAGTTTATCCCAGTAAAATAAATCATCTGGATCATAAACACCTTTTTAAAAAAAATTGTGTTCACATTTCTCTATAAACTTTTTTTTTTCTCCCTGTCAGCTCTGAGCCTTTCTTGTTTGCTGTTTCTAGAATAAAGCTGTTCTGTCTGTTGTTTGTTTGTTGCAGCAGAGATAAAGCCAGAGCAGGCGCACACTATAAAGCAGGAAAACACTGAAGCGGAGGTGAAAGAAGACAAGGACGACCACAAACCGCCTGCATTTGACAACCGTGTCAGCACCATCACGACCATCGTCAAATCAGAATCCAGGGACACCGACGCCCCCAAAAATGCTGTGTCTGTCGTCATAACACCTGGTGCACCTGTGGCGAAGCAGGAACTGAACAAGGAGGAGGAGGCCGAGCGGGCAGTAGTCAGAAGCAGTCAGCAAGCGAAGATACCGCTGAAGAAGAGGGAGCTTAAGCTAGCCGAGAGCTACCACAGCAACCACCTGAACAACAGTAACAGCAGTAGTATTATTGTTTGTAATCCCTCAGTGATACAGACCAAAGACAGAGAGGGGAAGCTGTCTAACTCATTAGTGCCCCCTAGTGGTCCAGCTGCCTCACAACTGCAGCAGCAGCTAGTGGTCACTGCGTCGAAGCAAGAACTGACCAATGGGAGAGCGTCTCTCCTCCTGCCTCACAAAGAGGGGCAAAACGGAGTCATAGGAGTCATCGGTCAAGTCGGTGTTATTGGTCATGTAGGCGTAATCCGCAGCCCGTCAGAGCTTCACAGGACGCCTCCCTGTGCTGAGAAACAGGAGCAAAATGGGCCTAATTCCGAGCACCAGGGCTTCAGAGCTGCAGAGGACGAGAGGGAGGCGAGTCGGCAGTCAGTGCTGGTCAGAAAGGGACCGTCTGAAGGGGAGACTGCAGCAGCTTCCAGCACACTTCCTCCTCATGCACCACTGGATGCTCAAACGGCAACAAAGCCACCGTTGATATCCTCAAAATCTGAACAGCTACCTGGAACTGTAGAGGGAAAAGTGGATTCTGTGTGTGTTTCCTCGTTGTCTCAGTCCACAGGGGAACTGAAAGGACAGACAGCAGACGAAAAAGATAAAAGGACGACAGAGGAGCAGTTAGAGGAGGGGATGGAAACTGAGAAACAGCAGAAGGTTGATGACCTGGACGAGAAGGACGGTAGGACAACAGTTGACCTTGAAAAAAATAAAAGCACTTTAGAAAAGTTCAAGGAAGAATCGGAGAGCAATGCTCCTCCTCTAAAGTCAGACCAGCTTGATAAAATGGACCAACAAGGAGATGCAGTCAATGGCGGGGTGGCAGCCTCGTGTAGTGAGAAGGACACTGAGCTTGTATCAGAGCAGAAGAAGGGTCCCCTTGAGGAGGCCTCCTCTGAGCTCCAAAAAGAGGGAATCCGGTTGAAGATCAAGATTCCTCCACACCGGAGAAACAAGTTAAGAGGAAAAGGAGTGAAGGAGGAGCAGAAAGAGAAGGAGCAGGAGGTGGAAGAGGAAGGGAGATCACTAAGGAGATCTGCGAGGATTTGCAGGTATGTGAGCAAGAAACTGTTGGATCGGAGGATAAACTTTGTATTTGTCTCGGTTCATTGTGATCTCAGGTACACCTGGTTTGATCTTGAAAATGAATTTTGACCCATGTGCCTTTTTTTTCTTTAAGATCATCTGCTTTGCCAAACTGCAGGCCGAGCTCGAAGGCGTCTGAGAGCCAAAGAAAGAAACCTGGTAGAAAAAAGGCAAAGCAGACCGGAACAAGGGAAGATGAGGAGGAGGAGGAGGAGGAGGAGGAAGAAGAAGAGGAGGAAGAAGATGAAGAGGACAAGGGCTCATCTATTAAAAAAGACAGAAAATTAGAACCTGTTGGTCAGATTAAGAAACAGCGGGTAATGAGAATTTAAATGTGTGTCCTGTAAGAATGAACACACAAACATAGTTTTGTTTGTTTCATATATTTGTCGCTAAGACTTTTGTTCTCTGTCTCTGTCGTTTTTTTGTTTTTTTTAGGGTAAACGGAGACATCGGCGCCCGAGGTGGTCGAACATCCGTTTGAAGAGACGCAAACTGAATGAGGAAGGGGAGGCGGAGGACAGAGGGGGGAAACAAGGGGATGAGGAGAGTGAAGGAGGGAGCGACTCAGACGACTCGTGTAAATCAGAGAAGATTCCCATTGAGGACGCCTGCAGTCAGTGTGGCCTGCCCAACCACCCTGAACTGGTGAGCGGGGACTATGTCTTGTTTATATTATTGTAGGGCACATTAGGTCCTGACGTTGCTGAAGCACGTTGTGTAGAGAAACTGTGGGAGCTCCAAATACACACAGCGCTGTTCTCCCCTGCTGGCTCCACCGATCCCATCTCGCCACTGTAACGTCTTTTGTTACTACCTCCAGTGGCTGCACAGAGGTGGGATCACTTTGTCCTCCTATTACGTCTCTGTGACTTCCATAGTGAAGGCGAGATAATCACAGGGTTGTAAATATCACACCTTGAACCGGCAGTCTGAATAGAGCTAGAGAGACGCATTATACAGTTATTTTTCTTGATGTAATTTTTTTGGGACATCGAGTCCTCCAGTGGATAGAGAAGGGATTTAGAGGGGTTAGAGTCAAAGCCAGGCCGCCCACTATGAGTCTCTGTACGTGGAGCGCACCACATGACCTCTCTAGGCCTCCCATCGCATCTTAGTTTGAGTTTTTTCAATTACTTTACTTTGAATAGAGATTTTCAAATCCAAGATGTGGCACTGAAACTAACCCTTACCTTGACCATAACTTATTAAAATGTCAAAAACAAAGTTTACGTACAACAGTATTCATCTGACAGTGATAAAAGTAGAAAATGCAGCAAACTACTTCTGCAATAGTCTTATATCTTATTCTGTATATTTGCATTAAACATTTAATTAGTCATCAAAACTGTTTCCTCAAATGCTTTAAGCATCTATTCATCAAATCCTACTGTTAAAACTGGTAGTTAATTATGCTGAAGTAAATACAGATTATCAAAGGCGTTTAGAGTCTCTGTTATTTAATGTAGAAATGGTGAGATCTCCCAGCAGGTGCTGGGAATGTTTTATTTGACTCTAAATGTGTTTTTCTGTGTGTGTGTTTTTCTGTGTGTGTGTGTCCTCAGATCCTGCTGTGCGACTCTTGTGACAGTGGGTATCACACAGCGTGTCTGCGGCCGCCGCTCATGTTGATCCCAGATGGAGAGTGGTTCTGTCCCCCCTGCCAGCATGTAAGCTGAATGTGTGTGACAGATAGAAGGACAGACACAAAGCGCACTTCATCTCGTTTAACGTTACATCGGTTTATTTGGGTTTTACAGCTTCATGTGATGTCACTGAAACACATAATGATTTGTTTTCCCTTCATCATTCTTGTGTTTGATCAGTGATGCCTGAAAGAAAAATTGTTTATATAAAAGTTCATTGAGAAACTAATCAAAACATTCCTTTGAGAAATGTCTATATTGAGAGATGCCAAAGTTTCACTTTATCCAAACACAGCAGCCTGAACAAGACTACATCATTATTCTTCTAAAAAGACTGCAAAGTGTTACAGATTTAAATCTAATGTTGTCATTTGCAAAAGTATTTAGAATAACAAGATTATAGACATTTATTTCTAACTTTTCCTTATTGAAAGTTTTTAATCTTCTGTGCCTTGGACGCATGTCTTCAATAACATAGACTATATTTAAGAACTGGACGTATTCTTTGTGCTCAAAAAGTTAAACAAATGGGGAAAACCCTGAACCTGTATTAATTTTAAAAGCCAAAAAGATGAAAATCCACTGGTTAAAAAAGTGGTCAGACTGTATAGCAGTTTATTGTTTTAATCAGTTGAGTAGTAAAGTTTGGGTGCATTTCACCCTTTGCATGTGCTTTGTGGATTCCTTTTTTTCTTTTATTTGCAAATGTTCAGCGCTTTGAAAACAGCGCAGTCCTTTTGTGCATCTGGCCCTGAGTGTTTTCCAATAGTGCATTTAAAAACCTTCTGAGGGCGCCAAAGAGCACCAAACAGACTACCTCCATATTGCTGCTTTAACACAGCATGATGTTCAGTTTGTAACTTTTATACTTGTAAGTAAGTTGTAAGGTTTGACACGAAAGCCTTATGCAGAAAGCTTTTTAGAAGTGAAGAGTAACAGATTTTTGCCGTTTTGGTTTTCCTCCCTTCAGAAGCTGCTGTGTGAGAAACTGGAGGAGCATCTTCTGAATCTGGACAGCGCTCTGAAGAAAAGAGAGCGAGCAGAGAGGAGGTGAAAACACACAAACACGTACACTGTGATCTACGATCCACTTTAAACAAACTCAGTGAGGAAATGATTTTGGATTCTGACCCTCCTCTCCCTGTCTTCTTTAGGAGGGAGCGCCTGGTTTATGTGGGAATCAGTGTGGAAAACATCATTCCTGTGAGTAAAACAAAGCATGACCTCTTCGAGTCACTTTTCCATTCCAACTCTGTGTCAACTAACTGCTCTATAATAACAGCTGCCATACAGTCGCTGTCATTCTTTTGATAAACTAAGGCATTAAGCCATATACTGAAGAAAGAACGGCCAGTGTGACACCTCCGCTGAAGTGAAGCCAACATTTACATTTACATTACAGCACCCCTGCTGGCTGGCTGCGGTTTAGGTCAAAAACCCTGTGTCCTCCATGTTAACAGATGGGACAAAGGACAAACTAGAAAATCTAATAAAACAGATAGATAGTTCTCAAAACTCTAGTTTTTATCACCCATTTTTTTCTGTTTAAGTGCTCTTTTATCTGTAAAGGTTATTTCTAATAAGTTATTTAATGCTTTGAAATGCCATGATTGACTGCTCTGTTGATGAATGTGGCTCCTGCGGCGCTGTGTGCTCAGTATGAGTGAGGTAGAGGAAGAATGGTCTCTGTTTAGCTCTTCCAGACGATCTCTACTGTACACATTTGGCTCCAATTGGCAATATGTCAGCACCCATTGAGGGGATATTTTGGCTTCATCTTTCTAAAGCGGGAGGAGGTTGAGACCTGTTGTTCATCATCATATTATACTGTCTGTGTTCTGAACTAGAAAGCTGGCTCACATTACAGTTCTCATATTGCACGATTGATGCGTAGGAAGCAGTGGTTAATATTCAAAAAGAAAATCTTTTGTTTGTTTCTTATCGGGGCTCTCCGGGTTTAAACTAATGAAGTGGGGATTTCAAATTGTGTACTAAGGATTTAAAACGGCAGAAACCAGTTGAGTCATTTTTAATTTGGTTTGGCATGGTGGACATCTGTAAGATTTAAAAGAGTTCTTTCATGCTCAACATTTTCATTTTGTGACTGCGTTAGGCTGGAGACGAGGAGGAAGAGGAGAAGTCTCCAAAGAAGAAAGATCCCAAAAAGATCAAAAATCTGGGGAGGAGATCAACCAGAACCAGGAAGAACATCAGCTACAGGTAGGTTTCTTGTTTATACATTTTTCTTTTCTTGTTTATAAATGTAAAGACGTTGTCTGCGTCCTTAAAAACATTTTATAGATTTAATTTTTTCCAAAGCTACTTTTAAAAGATAATTTTAAACCTCTATTCTTTACATACATGTTTGCTTGTGATGGCTTACTCTGCGACTTTCAGAGCAAATTTTCAGATCAAAACAAATGCTCTCTCCAGTCACACCTCCATCATTTTGTTTGTGTGTGTTGCAGGTTTGATGACTTTGATGATGCGATTGACGAGGCTATAGAGGAGGACATAGGAGACATCTGTAGTGGTGAGTTGTCGTGGAAAGGTTAGATAAATGTGGCAGATTTCATGCTGATGATGAAGTAATGAACTGCCTTCAGACCAGGGTTGATGTTCAGTTTAGGGTTTGTAAATGAAACAGTTCATGAACATGTAAACTTCAGCATTTAAAATCTGAAAATAAGAAGAAGAAAAAAAAGGAAGATGCTAAGAACAAAAATCTTGAGGGTGTGGACAGTTTGAGTTTTCGTTCCCCCTCTAACTTGGACTCTTTTGATGTAGGTGCAGGACGGGGGAGAGGAATCACCGCTATCCTGTCAGGGGACGGGAAGGAGAGCCAGCGGCCAATGAGAAGCCCGGCTTATTCTGCCAGAAACAGGAAGAAACGAAGACTGAACGACCTGGAGAGTGACAGCACGGCGGTAGAGAGTGAAGACGAGTTCATGATCAGCAACAGGTAACACACACACACACACACACACACACACACACACACACACACACACACACATTCCTCGTCCCCTCTGTACTTACCCTTCCTATGAAAAAAATAATTTGCCTCTATCCGTCTGAATCTGTTTTTGAATTCCCCCCTCACAGCTCAGACGATGAGGATTTCGGTGCGTCGGGGGCAGAAGAGGAAGATGAAGAGGAAGATGCGGGTAGCGATGCAGGAAGCTTGGAAAGTGGGAACCGCCCCAGACGCGCGATGAAAGGGGTTTCTAAACCCAAACTGAGCAGGCCCAGAGGCAGGGGCAGGAAGCGTCTGAGACGACGGCGGAGACGCTCCTCTGAGGAAGAGGAAGAAGAGAGTGATGAAGAAATGAGTGAGTGCTGAGTTTCGTGTCTGATTGTCTCTGAACAGGCTAACAGCTAAAAATAACTTCTTATCTCATCTCAGCTGGTGCACAACCTTAAATATTAGCAGTGCATAAACCCCGTCCTAAATAAGACATTTTCTTCAAACTAGTTTTAACTCATATTTGTTGTAACCCACAGCTGTCTTCATTATTTCTACATATTTGAAAAACCATCCATCATAAAGTTGTTTTCTGTAACATTTCTCCGTCTCTATTCTGGTTCTCTCCAGACTCAGATCAAATCAGTGACATGACTGACAGCGACGATGACAAAAAGAGGCGGGGTCTCAGGCGAGGCCAACGCCAGCAAGTCAACTACAGAGAGACGTCCGAGTCGTCGGACAACTCTCGGACCTCCACCACCAGGGTCAAGGTTAAATCCCGCGGCAGACCGCGCAAGGAGCATCTCTCCAGCGACTACAGCGATGGTCAGTCACACAAGAGCAGCAACCGCAAACTGCTTCTCGATTTTATTTAACCACTTTTCGTTCACTGTCATGTTCAGGACTATTTCTACCAGATTATCAGAGACTCTAATTAGTCATTATTTTGCCAAAATCTCAAAATCTTACATTTGCCTGAAGATGTTTAAAGTCGTGTTATTTATTTTGTTAATCCTTCCCCCTTTCTTTTTCTCTCAGTGTCGCTTTCCTCCAGAGAGTCTGACGAGGAGGAGGACGATGAGGACGACGACGAAGACGACCAGAAAAGGAGAGTGAACAGGAGGAGAAGAGAGGAGAAAGACCTCAAGAGAAACCGGTCAAGAGAGAAGCGGAGGAGATATGAAGAGGACGACGAGGACGACAGGAAGAGAGGGAGCCGGCTGAAAAGGAAACTCCTGGAGAAGGAGAGGGACAGAGACAGGCGGCCGAGGTTAAAGAGGACAGACCGAGAGGAGGAGGACCAGGAGAAGATGGGCAGGGGGAAGAGGAGAGAGATCCTGTTACTGCAGCGGCGCAAACGGCTCGCTCAGATGCTAAAGAAACGGCGGCCTTCTACGGACGAAGAGGACGACGACGACTCGGAGGATTCAGAGTCGACGTCAGAAGAGGATCGCCCGATCCGCAAAAGACTCAACCGCATCGACTCCGACGACGATGACGAGGAGGAGGAGGAGGAGGAGGAGAGGAGGAGAGGCGGCAGAAGATGAAAAAGTCTTCAGCGGTGGAGAGGAGGGCGGAAAACAAAAACGACAGTGACACTCAGGAAAAGGAGACGGCCCGCAGCCCGTCTCCGTCAAACGGACATCGGACCTCCAGAGGCTCGGCCAAGCCTGAAGCTGGAGGTCCTGCTGAGCCCAGGGACAGTGCAGGATCAGACAGGCAGGGCAGACACAACGGCCCCTCACATCCAGAGGGGGAGGATGAAGATGACGATGATGGTGTAGAGGAAGAGGAGGAGGAGGAGGAGGAGGGCCAGACAGACTCATTAAACTCTGTCCAGAACAGTCCGCAGTCATGATGGCTGTGATTGTGTGAGTAACACTTGCATCTTTGTTTTCTGTTCTTTTCTTTAACTGTCAGGCCTTTTAAAACAAAACCCCCGAACCCGTCTCCTGCTCCCGTCTCTTGCTCTTCTTCCTCGCTGTTGTATCGTGGCAGAGTTGCTCTCCACCGTCACATTCTGTACATCCAAAAACACAAACTCGTGATTGACACCCGTCGTCACCAGAATGGACCAAAAGCAATCGGTGCGCCTGGACCGTCAGCTCTTCATGTTTCAGTGGATATACTCTCACACAGCCGGAGTTTATTCTGATCGTTTATTTCCCCGGACTCTGGAGTCTCGGTCCGTGTTGCCGGGTGGTTGTGGGTTCATTCAGTGTGGGTCTGATGGAGCTGGACACAGGAGTCTGTATGTAGTGAACCTCATAACAAAGCACTTCATTATTCTCATAGCACTTAAAAACCTGCCAACCATAGAGAGTGTCAGCGTCCAACTCGAACACTTTGTTACCCTGATGTTTAGAGGGACTCTCACCTTTAAACTTCATGACACCAGAATGTCTTCAACGTCTGATTAAAGAAACACTCACAGTCATTGGTTAACACTTCTCAGTGCTGAGCATTTACAGCTTTCCTCTCTCACAAGAGAATTCACTTTTTAAAGTTTTAGTCTGACAAAAAGACATCCGATGGCATCATATTTTAGGAATTTGAGAAACTTGTTTTATTATTTTCAAGCCTTTCATAGACAGAAAAGTCGTGAAAAGTAGTTACCTGTTCTCTACTAAGTAAGCCCTGCGGTTACAATACCAGGATTATTTTTTAAGGACAAATTTAGAGAGGCAGGAAATGCGGAGAGAGAGAGATTAGGGGTATGACATGCACCACACAGGATCAGGAGTAGTACCTGTGGGATGCTGTGCATGGGACGCCTGCTCATTAGACTGGCACCCCTGATACCAGAATTTTAATCTCACATATTAAACAAGTAAAAATCAAACAATATCGATACCTCTTTTAGTACCACGTCCTGGGCCCTGAATGTTGGGTAATTTCTTGTTTTTATTTTCCAAAATTTGCAGTGCAAACTCTTTAAAATGCACAAACCCATCAGAAACATTGCAGTGTTTCCTCCTCTGCTTTCTGTCGGTTTGTAGGAGACATAAACATAACTTTTGCGTCGATATGAGACGCCTCAAAGTCTTGAGAAACGTCAGTGTTTGCGGATTTGTTGACTGAAGATCTGTAGTTTTTTTTCACTTTTCTGTCCTATCGATCATTAAAACAACATTTTGTGTCACGCAAAACATTTGGTTTAAACAGGCGAGTTTTAAAACGCTGCACAGTTGATTCAGCACCCGGGTCCTTCTCGTTCAGGATGTTTTGTAACAGTTGAGTTTTGTTCCTCTAATCGAGCCTTAAGCAGTTATTTATACCGAGTTTTACAGTTACCTACATGGGGACGATACGTAGCTCCAGCTGTCTCAGGATGTCATCAAAGTTCAATTATCTAAAGCAACATCTTCACAACATTTAACCTTTAGAATGATCCTCATTAATTTGATTTGAAATAAATAACGTTCAAAGTGTTCGGTTTCAGACAGCTGACACTCCTCTGTGTAGGCGGGACCATGTCTGCTGTACATACTCTGCCTGTACGCTGTTCCTTGTAAGATAATAGATGTTCTGTTCTTAGTCCTCTTGTAAAATATAGTGTTATATTTTCTATATGAAGGAGAAGAGGAGAGATGCTGCTGTGAGTGATGTGTGGAGGTTTCAAACTGCGAGTTTTATCAACGGTTTGCTTGTTTTTCTCTGAAACTCTGCGGCCTTGATCCGTGTGATGTAAGACCAGCAAGGAGCCCGTTCACCAGTAAAAAAAAGTCACAAAGAGTCGAGTTCTGCTCACGTTCAGCCCCATGTCAGACACGTTTTAAAGGTTGTTCACTATTCGTGCCCTTGTATGGGACACCCCAGGAGCTTTTAAGAAGGACACAAGCTTTTATATTTGACAACAACATTATTGTTTTCTCTACTGGAGTGCATCTGTTTCAGGAGAACTCAGAAGAATCCATACAGTCAAATACGGTTGTTATGATACCAGAATTTTAAACTTTGATATGATTCTAGTTCAAATCAAACAATATGTAAACCTGTTTCGATACCACAGCAACAAAAATAAGAGTCCTAGGCACCAATAATATGTAATTTCTTGTTATCTATTATCAAAAATGTAAGCTCCTGCACACTGTCCAAATTACACAACTACTTGGATGTGTTTGTCCATTTCAGACAGTGGTCAGGAGGTTACTTGTACTCCTCCACACCTGTCCGATGAAAAGTATGCATTTTTTCCCCAGCGACTTTTTCGATAATATTGATCATTAAAATTAAAATAACCGAGTTTGTAACATTTTAAAACTCCTGGTATCAAAGTCTGGAAAAGTTAATCCACCTCACAGTCGAATCACTGCTTCAGGCTTTGAATGAGTTTTATCCTGCTGTTCATGAACACTGTGCTGTTAACAGGAAGAGCTTGGACTTGTCAGAACTCTTATCATGCATCAGGAATATTTCTCCGACCTACAGCGAGGTGTGAGAATAACTTTCAAGTGATCACATCAAATAAACGTCAACATCAAACATCAAAATGAAGATGTACATAGAGAGAAACTCTCACAGAAGAAGGATGTTTATTTTTTCTACTTTTATTCCATTTAAAAAAAAAAAAAATTGACAAACTTTTAGTGAGTCGGACACTTTGTTATTGTTGTCTGTATGTATCGATCTCATCGCGTTGAGTATCGATGTATAAACTGTAAATGATCAACGACACATAGAGACTTTCTGTAGCCTAGATTAATTAGACCCCGCTCTGAAACAAAAGTTGTTTGATAGAAACCTTTATAATCACTCTGAAAATACTTCTGTAACGATAAAAAACAAAAAAAGAAAGCCGGTTGTAGTTCGCTATCAGATCGTTTCAGTTCTTTTACATTTAACTTTGGAGGAAAATCATCAGAACTCAATACCGGCTCTGCTCTCTTGCAGCCACACAAATGTGGGTTTGTGGCGTTAACTGAAACTGGCGGGATTTCACCGCTAGCTTAGCGTTCTTTCAGGTACTTTCCTTCAACTGTTAAAGGTGTGGTGGACGTTCATAACAAGAAGAACACCACTAGATAGACAATGAAGTCTCATCAGCTGGAAAATCCCTGAAGTGCAGAACTGCAAGGCCGACATTTAGATCATCAAAGATTAATTTATGACCTTAACTAAACTCCCCAAACACCTAACCACTGAAGTTTGCACTACCCTCCGTGGACTCTCACTCAGATTTACACTGTTTTACTGTCACGTACTCGTTTTCTTTTAGCCCAGATTTTGCTCAGATCCTGCTGAGCGTTAACATCAAGGATGGCAAAAAGCCTCTTCTAAAACTTAAAGGTGAGACAAACCGCCCCCCTTTTGTTTTATCAGCAGGGGGGAGATTCATGTGTGTTTATACCACCAGCCTGAAAGCATTCCACTGAACTTTATGTGCGTCTGTCTTTGCAGATTCTGTTGGTTTATAAATGTTCAGACCAACTTACTTGGATTCAAACAGGCACCCCAGGATGTGAGTGTGGCTCCTCCCATTTCTCTGTTGTATTGTTACTGTAGTATCGCTGTAACATAAATGTTTTCTAAGTTATTAAAACCAACATCCCAGGCATCTCTTCAAAAAAAAAAAAAAAAAAAAAAACCACTGTGTCTGTGCCTTTTTTAATGATTACGTCACAGAAAAATGATTCAAACCCTGAAAGTGACTCAGATCAGGGAAGTTGATTAACATGCTGAAGAGGTCTGAGAAGTTTCTATGGATGTTTTCGACTTTTTTTTTTCTACTATGAAAATGTGTCACAGTTAAAAGTCAAATGTAACCACCACGACTCCCAGCTGAACACATCCTCTGTTTCTGTAAGCTGCTGCTTCACTGTGTGGAGGAAAATTAAAGATAACCTACGTTCAACCTTTACAGTCAACAGGTCTTAAAGCTTAGAATAGCTATATTCAATTTTAATATTTACATATAATGTAAACAGATTATGGTTTGAGTATGATTAAAGTGTCTCTAAATATATAGGCCTAATGTTATTAATATTATGTGCTTGATTGTTTATTATTCACAAATGTTTATTAACTTCCTCTTTTCAATTAACATCCTGATCTAGATGTTGTTTTGTTTTTTTTACATATCCCCAAACATGTCTTTTTTTATTTGTAATTTCTATAGTAGTTTTATTTTTGTTTGTTTTTAAAAATGTGTGGATTTAAAAAATATATATATTTAATGAAGTTTCCACGAAAATCTGTGTAAGAATATCTGCCTCACTAGGAGTAGCCGCGTGTACACCGCCCTCCAGTGGACAAGGTATGTAATGACATTTCAAATGTAATTATTTTTTAATTTTCTGGTCACATTAAATTTTCTTTGGATGTAATATTGTGCTTTTATATCTTATATGAGTTTTACTAACGCTAAGCAGGTTGAGATATTAAGTTTGCAGCCTTGCTCTCTAATGCTAGTACCAAAAAGGCTAAATCAGTTTCCATGGTAACAGTGAGGCTAGTGAGCTAGTATTCAAGCTAGTCAGATTCTCTTTACAGCCTTTGGATTGCTGAGTGATCCGTTAGCAAAGAAAATAACTAACGACTAACACCCGAAAGCTAATAAAATATTACATTGATAAAATAAGGCCAAAACATAGACTGTAAAAATAAAACACTGTGTGGCAGTGCTGTCCTCTAGTGGTGGCAGAGAGTAACTACAAGGTGGACAACTAATAAAATATTACAGGGATAAAACAAGGCCTATGGGACAGTGTGATGCTGCCCTCTAGCGGTGGTAGAGAGTAACTACAAGGTGGACAACTAATAAAATATTACAGGGATAAAACAAGGCCTATGGGACAGTGTGATGCTGCCCTCTAGCGGTGGTAGAGAGTAACTACAAGGTGGACAACTAATAAGATATTACAGGGATAAAACAAGGCCTATGGGACAGTGTGATGCTGCCCTCTAGCGGTGGTAGAGAGTAACTACAAGGTGGACAACTAATAAAATATTACAGGGATAAAACAAGGCCTATGGGACAGTGTGATGCTGCCCTCTAGCGGTGGCAGAGAGTAACTACGAGGTGGACAACTAATAAGATATTACAGGGATAAAACAAGGCCTATGGGACAGTGTGATGCTGCCCTCTAGCGGTGGTAGAGAGTAACTACAAGATGGACAACTAATAAAATATTACAGGGATAAAACAAGGCCTATGGGACAGTGTGATGCTGCCCTCTAGCGGTGGCAGAGAGTAACTATCAGGCGGATAACTAGTAAAGTTAGCCATATTTACCTAAAGCAGAACTTCTGGTAGGAGATCAGATTTAGAAATCACAGATTGTAAAAACACACTAAATAAACACACAAAACACACATACACAAAATTAATACACAAACACAAAATAAGCAGTTTATTTCTTTATTCAATGTTAATTTTTATTATTTGATATTATTTTAATTGTTTTCTTTCATATCCAGTTCATCATTACCATTTACAACATTATTAATTATTACTATTATTATTTTTTTTACCCTGCTATTTACTATTACTATTTGTATTGAACTTTTTACATTGTTATTTGATGCTTTGGCAATATTGTCAGTAACTTTTATGTCAATAAAGCTTATGACTGTAGTCATAAGTTTTTAACACAGGAAGGCAGTAGAAAAGTTTGACTTTATAACATAACATAACTGATTTAACTCATTAGCTAAATGAATTTTGGATCTTTCCAATCAAATTACAGTTTGACACATTTAGCTGTAGGTTGTATGAAGCTTAACCAAATCAATTGTGTTAGATATGACAGGACTTCTTAGTGTTTCTCATGCCTTTAAAAGAATGTATATTGTGATCAAGTGTGTTTTATTCAGTAAAAAAAAAAACTCAATTAAGTTCTACATAATTTGTGATAAAAGTAAACGCTTCCAAACGACCAACTATTAACACACTGCAACTTGTAAATATTCACAATTAGTTAAAGGTCTGTAGTTGCGTACTGTGACCACTGGAGGGCGCCCAATCCTCGTCGCTGTCATTTCCAACTGACTTTCAACACAGCTTCCGGTACAACATTCAAAATAAAATGGTCAAATTGGACAAAAACTGAGGTTCCGGAAATCGTTTTTTTTTCTCTTTCCTTTCAATACATTTTACAGCATTTAAAAATAATTCCATACAACACATGAACATGTAAGTACAGGAGGACATTCAACTACATGTACCAAAAAGTTAATGTATACATAAATAAGTAGAGAAACATATATAACAAAACAAAATTAACAGCATATAAAGTATAAAATAACAAATAATGAATCAAAGAAAAAAGCAGGAAAGTTACATTAAAATAAGTAATCGAGCATTTATTTCAACAAAGTAATTAAAATGTATCTGCGAATATCATAGAAAACATGTACAGAAATTAAAATACACAGCTGAAAATATATATAGAATGTTTTTAATTTTCCCTGTGAATTTATATTAGAATAGAATAGATGTTTATTACCATTTGCACAGGTACAGCACAGTACAGGTACATTGGACTTATTCTGCGTTTCTCCCAGAGTCAGCTTCTACAACAAAAAAAAAAAGTTAAAACTATATATAAAGTAGAATAACATTATAAGAAAAAAAAGAGTAGAAAAGTACAAAACAAAGTAAAATAAATAAATAATAAGTTGTAGTAACAGCTTAGTGATTTAAAATAAACTGTACAGAAGCTATACACTGTATTAAAGCAAAGATATAATACAAATAAATAACAAAAGGGAACACTGTACAATGCAATGAAAATATAAATATGTTTTCTTGTCTCTAACTTTCTACATATTTTAGATGTATTTATATGAAATGTGGACATTATTATCTAAATATTAATAAAGTGGCTTTCTGTTTACTATTTTTCCCAGAGACCAAACCATACATTCTCTGAAATAAAACAAAATATTCATCTTTTTTTTTTTTTTTTTTTTGTAAGAAAATACAGAACATGTTGTCAGACCTCCTTTAAATTTGAACAATACCAAAATAAAAGTACAACAGTTTCAGGACATTCATTACAAAAATTACAAAAATAAATTTAATATATAATTTGTAGTCTCTTAAAATGTATGCATGAGTTCAAATGAGATTTCCTTAATTGTATAACCCTTTTAAAATATTGTAAATAGGGGTTCGACCACAGACTGTAAACGTTTGATATGTTCAAGAAGTTTGAGGAAGTCACGTGGTTTCCCGTCTTCACGTTGCCGCGAGATTTCAGCTCTGTGGCGATATAGTGAGGAGCACTCACATCTCTAGCTTCAACATTTAGCTCTCTTTTGTATTTTCAGACTTCACAGCTCCTTTGTTAACTCTCAGTCTGCTTCTGAAAGGAGGCCACAGCACGGACTTTTGTATTTATTTGTATCCTGCTTTTGTTTACTAAGAAGTTATCCCGGGTTAAATTAGCGAGCTTAGGGGAATAAGTCAGAACAAAACACGGCCCCCTTGTTGACAGCTGGGTCCGCTTGTTTACTTTCATCGTAGCCTCCTTCTGCAGGTCTGAACACTTTAACGATGGTTTTACTGAAAAGCCTCAATCCTCCCACCGAGGGAGTGCGACATGAGCAAGCCGAGACCACGGCGGTGATGGCGGCCAGAGGCTCGGATGTGGCACGCTGTACGTCGCAGAAACGTAAGTGATGCACATGGCGCTTGTTGTTTTTTATTTCCACTTTAAAACCAAAAGTGACTCTTGATGAGGTTTTTTTTATCAGCATTTATTACAAACATTAACCAAAGTATACTAATGTTCAGGACAGAAAGTAAAATAACAGATTTAAGCTTCAAAACACCACCACTCCTCGTGTTAAATAAAACACTTCCGGAGTGGACACTTTCAAAATAAAATAGAAGATTGATTTGTTTGGACGGGGGGATTATTCGTTCAAATAATGAGTTAGAAAGACTTCAAAATCCTGTATCTTGTAGATTTTTAGATTATAACAGTATGTTTTGTTTGTGTTGTGTAGACATAGTCAATCAGGTGAAGCGGAAACAGCTTATTAGTTGTTTTATAAGTAAATTTACATCATACATTTTGTGTATTCGTTATGTGATTTATGTGTTACAGCTTCTCTAAGGTGATAGTATGATGCTTTTCCTGCTCATATGTGATGGAAAATTGTATACCTTCTTAAATACTTCAGATTTCCCTTTGGCTCTGGCTGTTATATATAGATGTGTTCTCTGTTTTGAGACACATTTAAGATCTAATGTGTTGCAGCCGACAGGTAGGGCCCACGTCGCCTGCTGAGTACTGTCTTTTTAGCTCCAAAACCATCACTGAACCTGGTATATATTGATTTTTACAGAACTATCTTCTGCACCAACACTGTGTGTTTGTTTTCTCTGACTCAGGCGCCTGTCGTGGTTCGATGGAGCAGGCTTGGGTTTCTGTTTGGAGTATCCAACCATCGGCCTGCACGCCATCTCCAGAGACGTCAGCGCATATCCACAAGAACACCTTTATGTCATGGTCAACGGCAAAGTAGGAGGTGAGAATGACGCTGTTTGCTGTGTTAAGTCAGTCAGTTTTTATTGCAGACCATGTTCCTGGTTTCTGATCTCTCAGATGTTGTCTGTCAGCAAACGAGAGAAAGTTTAAGTGCTAAAACTTCCCACTTACTATTCTTTCACAGGTCCTTTAGCTCACTTAGTGTTTAGATCTCTGAGAAGTTTTCTGCAGAAAAAAACATTTAGCCTTTTAGGAGCTTTCTCCACAAACACAGTATTTTACTGAAGTGCTAACATGTTCACTTCTTTTTACTGAAGCCTGCTCTGTTGAGTGTTTTTGAACAGTGCGTTAATAAATGAATAAATGAATAAATGGAAGTTGAAGCTTGTTTCTGCCAGGAGAGTTTCTAAGTTAATCTTTTATTTTCGTATTTGATCGTCTCAGATGAGAATGAGGCAGAAATGGCCGAGAAAGCCGCCGATGAAGATGAAGACGATGACAACAGCTGCAGCAGCAGCGGTGGTGACGACGATGAAGAAGGAACGATAACAGAGATCAGATTTGTGCCCAGTGACAAGGCAGCATGTGAGTGACTCTGAGGATCAGCCTGATGTCCTGACTTATATTTGACATGATATCTTTTGTTCTGCTGCCTGAGTCAGGGTCATATTTTCATACTTTACTTTATACTCTGAGATTAGAAGACAAATACTAGAGTCTCTTCAAACATCTGATATAAATTGAAGAATGTATTTTGGAGAATAGCAAGAACAACACTGAGCTGTAGGACTGACTTTCAGCTGCTTAAATATGAACTCTATAAAACTTGACAAACAAAGACGTCTTCCCTTCACCATGAGGACGCATTGTAGTTCATTTTGACTCTCACACCCTCTGTGTGTGTGTGTGTGTGTGTGTGTGTGTGTGTGTGTGTGTGTTTTGATGCAGTGGAGCCGATGTTCTCTGCGATGTGTGAGTGCCAGGCACTGCACCCTGATCCAGAAGACGACGACTCCGACAACGACTTTGAAGGAGAAGAGTACGACGTGGAGGAGGCCGGTGAGGAAAAACACATGAAGATACACACTCAGTCGTACACTCAAACTCCTACACGCTCAGTAAACCTTCTGAAGGGAATCTTTACTTCTCAATCTGTGATAACAAGTCACTCAACAGAAACACAATCATCGTCCAAAAAAATTAACCCTGAGCAAAATCCTACTAAGTGAGGTATTTAATGGAGTGGGAAATCTTAGCACATTAATAATGAAACTTGGCTACCGGATGTTGAATTAAATTAATTTCATTGATAGTGAATAGTGATCAAAGTGAAATTTTGTCAGTACAAAAAGATTTTATTCACAAGATCACAAAAACCTCATCTCCCTCTTTAATTGTCCTTTTTGTCTTGATTTGATATTTCTGCTGAAAACAGATTATTTGCAGAAGATTCACAGTAACAGCCCCGTCGTGGTTTCTATGTACACTGAAAATGGCGCCTTATCTTCAAAACAGAGCTCAGAGGCTTTTTGCTAAATTAATTTAACCATACAAATGTTGTTGTTCTTTTAAACATTTATTTTTGGGCTTTTTATGCCCCTATTTTAGAAATGGGACAGTGGATAGATTCAGAAATTAGCGAGAGAGAGAGAGTGGGGAACAACAACAAAGGCTTTTTTAGTAAAACACAGTAATCTTTTCAAATCTACACTGAGCTGATCTCTGCACAGCTCTGAGACGTTAATATATTTAAATTACAGAGGGAATATTTCTGCTGGCGTGTTGAAACCTTTAAGTATTGGTAGCTATCCTGTTTCACTTCAAAAGAAAATCAGTTTGACTGAGATTTTTGTGTTTGATAAAAAAGCTTCTCTTTAATCAGATGTCAAATATGCGCTGACACTGTTTCAGTTACTGCTTTAAATATTTACAATTTTTATTTGGTGCCAGAATACAAATCTTTGACTCATCTTTGTTCTCTCTCTGTTTCCTTTTTGTCCCTCGTTACCTGGACTCTTTGGTCACAGAGGCAGGTGAGATTTCAGCACTAACATCTTTACATACTATCTTACTCCTCGGGGAGTAACGAACAATCTCAGTCTGAATATTAAAACAGTCCAAGTGTTGGAAGTTGAACAGGAATCTTTGTGTAATGTCAATGGCAGAAAAATACCTTCATTGTTATTTGGAGATCCTCTGTGACAGTGCACACAGACCGACAGTCTGGGGCGGCTGTGGCTCAGTTGGTAGAGTCGGTCGTCTCCTAACTGGTGCCGGCAGCCACATGTCCAATGTGTCCTTGGGCAAGACACTTAACCCCAAGTTGCTCCCGCTGCTTAGTCGGCGGTGTATGAATGTGTATGAATGGATTAGATACTTCTGATGGTCTCTTCACACAGCAGCCTGCCATCAGTGTGTGAATGTGTAGGTGTGACCTGTGGTGTAAAATCGCTTTGAGTAGTTGGAAGACTAGAAAAACGCTAAACAAGCTGAAGACCATTTAAAGTCTCTTTGAGTTTGTCTTCTGTTTAGCTTTAATTGCTGACAAATGCTGATCGTTGATCAACACTTGCAAATGTCCTCAGAGAAAAAAATATGTGATTTTGTTGCCTTAAAAATGCTGCTGTTAAAGTCTTTCTCTCCTGCACCACCCAGAGCACGGCCACGGAGACATCCCCACCTTCTACACCTGTGATGAGGGTCTGTCGTCGCTCACACAGGAGGGCCAGGCCACGCTGGAGAGGCTGGAGGGGATGTTAGCTCAGTCAGTGGCTCAGCAGTACAACATGGCCGGGGTCCGGACCGCAGAAACCAACAATGAATTTGAAGGTTTGAGACTCAACCCGGCACCAATAGTTTACTTTGATAAACATACAACCATTAACCACTGCAGAGGGATACTATTTATATCTATACTTGATCCTGTACACTCTTCTGTTGCAAAAAAAACCCAGCAACATTTTAAAGAACAGATAATTTGACACGTTTTTGTGATCTGCATGTTGTCCTAATCTGTGTGTGTTTCTGTTGACAGATGGTATGGAGGTGGACGCAGCAGCCATGGAGGCCGGTCAGTTCGAGGATGCAGATGTTGAGCACTGGTAACAACAACTCAATCAATCAATCAATGCTTTATTTCTATAGCACATTTAAAACAACTTGATTGACCAAAGTGCTTTACAAAAACACACAATGTAAAGACAACAAATAAAATAACAGAATAAAAACACAATAAATAGGAGCATGAATAAAACATTGCAAAATGTCAAGCTCAAATTGTATTAAAAGCCAGAGCAAAGAGGTGAGTTTTAAGCAAAGATCGGAGGTTTCCAATGGACTGAGTAGTTCTTATATTAACAGGTAGACTGTTCCACAGATTGGGAGCAGCCACAGCAAAAGCTCTGTCACCTCGAGTTTGACAGCTCTGGCAACTCCTACATATTAAAACATAAATGAAGTGATAAAACAAAAATATGATGTTAATAAACCTGGATGATTAGAATCAAACCGATTTCTTAATTTCTGTTTAGTGCGGTCTGCTTTAGTCATGTGTTGTCCGACTCTTTCTGCAGATGGAAGTCGTCACAGCGTCCAGTCAAAGCAGCAGTGTTGCATCATGGGACTGAAGAAGAGGACAGCAGCACTTCTTTAAACCTCTCAGCTCTTACTTTAACTCTCTTTCTGTTCCTAAAATTAAACCCTTTTCCGTGTACTTTAAGACATCTCAGCAGGCTGTTTGTAGTTACCTGTGTTTTTTCTTTTGTCTTTGATTGGTGCTCGCGTACTAAATGATGTCGATGGTTTTTCTGCTCAGTCTCTTGTTGCCTCGCCGTGCCGTATACAGCTCAGTAAGCTACAGTAAACTTTTGAGATGCAGCCCGTTGATTTGATGCTATTAAAGAAAACACAGAGTTTCTGTTTTGTACCTAACGACCAACTTAATATCTGCTTTTCCTGCTGAGAAGAGTTCACGTCTTTGTATGAAATTGTCAATAAATGAATAGTTTTTCTATGAGATTTGTTTTTGGTTTCAAAGATCCGTTTGCAGCCACAATCCCACACAGAAACATTTTTAACTCTGCAACACAGCGTTCCTTTTCTCATCGTTTCAGACTTACAGCAGTTTACCGTTTAGTTCATTCTCAGTTGAAGGTCGCTGTTTGTATGAAACAGAAAAAAGAGACATCACTGGTGGGAAAATGGACGATTCAGTAGCTCAAGCGCCAAATATTTGTCCAATGGTTGAGACCAAAAGGCTTTTACAACCCAAAAATCTTTTTAACTTCATGTTTCTGAACTCTGATACTGAAAACTTCGATTTACACACACACACACACACACACACACACACACACACACACACACACACACACATTCGGATCCTTTGTGCACGTTGTTTCTCAAAGTCACTTACAGATTTTTCTGTAAAACCTCTACCAAAAATATCACATGCTGGTACTTATGCATGAAGGCCTGATTGTTCAGAAGTAATTAAATCCTTGAAGTCCAAGATGAGTCAGAATCGGCTTTATTGGCCAGGATTTGAATTCAATAAAATGTGCTCTCTGTGTACAAAGTATAACATTCAAAATTAAAAACAAAGACTAATATGCACAAGACTAAATCAAATATTAGTGCAAAAGACGCTGAAATGAACAAATGACCGCAAGGGGACAATAAAGTATCGTATCACGTCCTCCTTTTGTATCGTGTCCTATTGCATCGTATCGTAGTGTACCACCAGGATTAAAGCTATCAGGTAGGATCAAATCTTAAAATCAGGTTCTGGATTATGGGATCAGGATTACGGGATCAAACCTCCAGTTTTTGTTGTTCTAAACTTTTGAGTAGGATTGGGTTTTTCTAAATCCCAGCAGAGGATTCAGTGGAATACAGGGAGAGAACAATGTAAGACACTTTTCAAATTTGTTAGAAGATATTTTAAAACATTTATTAAATACATTTTCAGTAGAATGCTATATTGCTTCCTAGATGAGGTAGACATTAGTGTCATATTAGTGGGATCACCTTATTTTATCCGAAAACATCCTTTTTTTTTTTTTTTTCAACAACCAGATTTAAAGATTTGATCCAATCCCTTTAATCCTGGTGGATTACTTTGGAAGAACCAGATCCTGTGGATTTCAGTCGTGACCAAAGTGCTGTCAGTATTATTAATTAGACATGATTAAAAATGGTTATTCAACACTCAGGATTTCACAGTTACATCCACATAAAACACAGTTGGGTTTTTTTTTACAGAGAATTTAAAGGCACCAGTTACATCTGTGCTACACTAACACACAGTGAACATTACTACTCTGTGCTCTGCTCGGGAACGTCACAGAATAACTATAGTATTTATAATCTCTATGCATCACTTGTCAAGGAGAGTACAGTATATAATAAATCTCTGATCATACTGAGAACTTATTATAAATGTTTAACATATATACACACAAAAAGAACTATGCTCACTTTAACAATACTGGAAGTAAAAGAGTTGATTCACCACCAGAAATTAAAATGTTTGTGTGTTTTAATCAGCTGTGTGCATCCTCTCTCATCAACATGCTGTCATCAACCTAAACATCAGAATCATGCAGGTATGAAGCATACTGTATGTTGGTATTTACAATGACAGATATTTAACATTCAGTGTTTGAAAAGTTGGAGATGATTTTAAAAAGTGTTGACATGTCTGATGGTAAACTCAAAGGAAACTGCTTGTTTCTTTTAGTTTAGATGACAAAACCCCTCTAAGAGTTCAGACTCTGCAGTTTCAAAGTAAAAATAACTGTCAGATAGTATCTTTAGTTTTCTATTTAGCTACTAAGATGTGCTTTTGAGGTGAAACCATCCTAAAGACCTCCTGTCATCAGGATGATTCATTATAAAGTCTAAAAAAAAAGTGCATATCAGTGCTGTTCTTCTTTTTTCTAACTTGTGATGTCTGAGATCAGCTGCAGGTCTGTCAGAAACAACATGTGCTGCTCTTGTGCTCCGGGTCTGAAAATCTGCTCGCTGAGTCTCATGTCCTCTTCTTTGTGTCCAGGGGGAGATGAGGAGACGGTGAGTTTCTCGACATCAGAGGGACGAGTTTATCAAACAGCAGCACTGAGCTCATCATACCTGCAGCAGCAAGAGTGAGGCAGATAGGAACAAGAAGTTTTATAGAAAAACTAATTGCCTCAAAAGAGCAAACTCCATTGATGTGATTGATAGTAGAAACCAGCAAAGAACTCTGCAGCTTAAAAATGTAATCAAAATTTAGCGAGAATCCAGATTTCTATTTCTGTGTTCAAGCTCATTTATTTCATAATAGAAAAAATTACAATTTCACAAAAACACTTTAAATGATCAGAAAAATACACCAAAGCACAACAATGCTTCTCCTCAACAGTGATTTAATATCTTTCAGGAAAAAACAGGAATGTAAAATATACTCGTTCTGGGTTTTTCTGTTTATGGGATCATTTAAGATAAACAAAAAAACAAAACTTACTTAACCCTGTCTTTACTCAGTATACAGCAAATGAATGTCAGTCTTGATATGATATTGTATGTGTGTGAATGCTGTTATCAATACATTGGTCTTCAATGTTTAAGTGAATTACACAAACAGCAAGAGGTCTGGAACAACAGAAGTAAGGATGTTCAGACCACTCTTTGCAAAAAGCACAAAAAGTTTGCCAGCAAATATTACAGCAGGTTTCTTTTTTTTTTTGAAGCATTAGTGAATTTTATATTTTTGTTGGAAGCTGAAATCCATGCTTTTTAAGATTTTCAAAACCCTGCAGAAATTCTGGCATCAGTGGTTCTTACCCAGCAGCGGGCCCAGCCAGTAGACCAGGCAGTAGTCCAGGAAGGAGTTCCCACTGCAGGGGAACTGAGTGGAGAAGGCCAACGCAGGGTTAAACACTGCTCCTGTCACACTGCCACCTGGAAACACACAAATACACATGTAGACAGTTTAAAGACATAACTGCAGGCACTTTTCATTAATTAACAACATGTATTGAGTGTACTTTTAAATCAGTTGTTTTCTAACTGGTTGGTAATATGTATTTGCCTGTGTATAGTTTATATTGGCTTTATTATTGTGTCAGACTCAGTTCTATTCCAGTTTCATGTAAGTTTCTCGGGCTTTTTACAAACTTTTACAAACATCCTTCAAATAAATCATCTAAACCTCGTCCTGATTATTATTATTATTATTATTATTTCTTTCTAAATCTTAATTTAATTATATTTTTTTCTCTTCGTACCTTTTCTTTGGATTTTTCTTTATTTTTATTTTATTTCATGTTGTATGTATTCTTGTATGTTTAAAAATATATATATAAAAATGTGCCAGGACAAACAAAATTTGTGATGAAATATGACAACTTGTAATGTAGTAAAACAGCCTGCAATAAAGTAATAAAAAAATAAAAATAAACCTCGATGTTCACACACATCAGAAGGCTGGTGTCGCGTCCATCAGTGTTTATGTGTTTTTATTCAGACACAGGTGTGACCGTCTTACCTGCATAAACCACTGTGGCGATGACCGCAGCTACAGCGTGCACGCGGTATTTCTCCTCCACGGATCTCGTGCGCGTGATGGCAGTCTGAACCACAAAGGCGCACGCGAGCTCCACTGCGGCCGCTTTGGAAAGGGGCGCGTGAACGGGGCTGATGCACCGGTAACCGAGGAGCTTGTGCCTCACGTGCAGCCCCGACAAACCCACACCCCACATCACCGGCACCGCAGCTCGTGCAGCGGCGGCAGCAGTGAACTGGCACGCGATCCTCCGCAGTGCGCACCCGCCCGAGAGCCTCGCGTGGTACGCGTGCTCGAGCGCACCGGAGGGGTTTCCTATAGCCCCGCTGAATGTGAGCCCGTGCACCACAGCCCCCAGGTACGTCAAGGTGAGCGCGAGGCGAGGTTCGATCCCGCCCACCTCTGATAGAAGCTTCAGCTCGTGCGTGCAGCAGCATAGCTGGAAGGTGGACACGAGCTCCACCGCGTACACAGAGAGCCCGGTGTCCGTTAGGGCCCGTGTCAACAACCTGCGGGCCACCTCGCATAGAGCAACAATCCCCACCAGCATCGACAGAGACACAGCCACGTCTGCAGTCATGTTCGCGGCTTGCCCTGCGGGGAGACTCCCGCTGTGCACCGGGCAGCTGAGGTCTCCTCCCCGGCTTCTGCTCTCTCTCTCTCTCTCTCTCTCTCTGTATCGTTCCTGTGGTGGATGATGGGATCTCTTTTCCGAAGGATGCAGGGCTCCAACCGGGGGAAAATTGAGCTTCAGTCCCTTTAACTCACATTGCGGAAGTGAACAAGCTCCACCGTTCTCCTCCTCTCTCTCTCCCCCCCCCTCCTCCTCCTCTGCTGGTACTGCTGCTCCCTGCTACTCTGCTCCTCTGTTGTCTTTCTGCTGCTTTTGTTTTAACTCTCACAATTGCCTCGCTTCTTTTTTACCATCTCACTCATGGGGGGCCCTTCATAGGCCTGAAATAAAAATGTACTTCTTATTTCGCTTTTTTCTCTAAGTTATAATAAGATAACTAAAATTATCTGAAAAAAATAAACAACATTTATGGATAAACAAAAATGTGGAGTCTGTCTCAAAGTCCCCTCTCCTCCCTGCTTCAACTATCTGAAAAGGTGCGTATACTACAAAGTTTAAATTATTTTTAAACTATGAGGAAATATTACAGTGATTATTAATCTTCCATTTTCAGGGTGTAAAACAAAGCATATTGTTCAAAGTTTTTATGGGTCATTTGTGTGATGGAGGTGCGGTCATAGAAATTTTCCGGGTTAGTTTGGGCCGTGGTAGGGCCCAATGTGATATCTTTTCATGGGGCCCGGAGTTCCTGGCGACTCCTTGTGGGTGACCCTTACACACCGTTCAGTAATGCAATAAGAAAAAACATTTTTAGCCACATTTGGGCCCCTTAAAGACAATTATACAATTAAGCAGAGTAGCTTAGTAATAAAATACAATGTGATTAGTTAGTTGGTTTTGAAATATAGATTAACATGTATACGTTCACAAGAGAATAACTTCTTAAAAGTTAAAATCAAATCAATAAAATGTGTGCAACATTACATGGAAGCTCCACTCTTACTCAAAGTCTCACTGTGACATTATATCATTTATGAACTACAAATATGGTGGTTTCAAGTGAATAAGTCCTCCACCTGATACTCCTCTGCAAATCACTGACAGTCGTTTCAGGACTTCAGGTTCTCTGGTTTTCTCAGACCAGGATGGACAGATGATTCAAAGTCTTATTAAAGATGTGAAAGGAAACAAAAAGCAGAACGGAGAGCTTTCCTGCAGCTGAGGCCTTTATGATCTGAAGTCTCATGCAAGTGTCCAGCAAGCACTGACGCTGTTCACCTCAAACCCTTACAGAGGTTTTATTATCAGAATCAGAAATACATTATTAATCCCCAGGAGGAAATTCAGTTGTTACAGTTGCTCGAGCAATCAGTAAAGAAATAGTTTTCAGGAGCAACTGTACATCAGCTTGTGCAGTCAGTGCTGGTGTACTCATGAGGATCTGTGCTGAAGGAACATGACCTCTTGATCTCATTATCATGTGAATCTTAGACGCATTAGGCTCTGTATCAAGTAGGCTAATCTTTGTCCATGAGCACTTTCAGGTCAATAGGTCAAACATGTTGTGAGGAAGCTTCTAAAAAAAGTAGACATGTTTGTTGACAGTTCAGTTCAGATTTTATATTTGTTTTTTTGACCATTTCAGAGTGTTTAATGTATACATAGTGAAGTTTTTCCTGCGGTCAAATGTGTGTTGTATGTTACCTTTTGGTCAATATGATGAAACACAGCTACAGTTAATAGACTACATGTTTAATTCAGTAAGCATCTATGCTCACATTTCTGACATTATTGATATCTCCACTGTGGCTGAACACATTGTTATGGTTGAAACTGCATTTGAAAAGTCCTTCCTCATCCTTTTTTGCTGTTTGTGTTTCTCAATCCTCGACAATGTTTGTGAAAATGGACCCTGTATTCAACTTCTATAAATTCAGTAAGACCCCAAAGCTCAGCAGAAACATAAATTATGTATTATATCATGAACATTTAGATTAAGATGAAGATTAAGATTAACTTTTATTGATCCCAGCAAGGGGACATTTCTGTTTTTACACTCTGTAAGTCATGCAACACACACATAGGCTGAAATATACACACATGCACAAACAGGATCTTATGGACATGCACTAATGGAGAGATGTCAGAGTGACAGAGCTGCCACAGCGGGCGCTCAAATTACAAATTTAGAGGCAAATTCTTTGAAATACATGCAAACTGCACATATCTTTCATTACAACTTTAAGCAAGAAACAATGTATATATTCTGTATGATATACATTACAAAGTAGAACTTCTGAAACTTACATTCAATAAAATTAAGATAAGAATTATGAAATAGTATCTGTTTCTTTTTTTTCTTTTTTAAACACAAATCCTATGCACTTTTTGTTTTAGTCTACATGACAATAAACCAATTTTGGTTCTGAGTCTGAATCAAACATATGCAGTCAGTATTTCACAAAGTTTGTATTTTTAGTAAGAAATCCCTTCTTTATATTTCAATGGACAGTATTTCCTTCCCTGTAAGAGACAGAAGTACAGTTATAGGAAGCAGAGAATACTACGATTTCCCATCTCAAGGTGATAAAGACACATATGAGCAGTAAAGCTAACATGCTGTTAAGTTTCATTGAAGCTGTTTGACTTGATGCACCCTGAGGAAGGCAAAGCTGAAAGGTCTCTCTTTTTGTGTTGGTCTTATTGATGCTCTCTGAGGAGTTTCATGCAGCTCTCCTCTCCCACCACTAGATGTCACTGTCTCATTATTCTTCACTTGATTTTGTACTGAAACTGTTTCTGGTTAATAGAAAACTTTGCTTTGAGGAAATTGATTTATTTCAATTCTCAAAGTTTGAAGAAGCCAAAAATGAAAATACGCTTTTTTTTCACTTTAAGAACAAAATGTATTACACCCCGTGGGAAGTATTGTTCATTACAATTTATCTATCAGCTGCTTCTATCCAAGTGCACCATTAAGGAACTGGACTCTGTCAAGAACTAGAGCTGTTATCAATATAGGACAAGTGCAAAAACCACGACCAGGAGCAAATGGACTGACTTTTACAACCATTTATTTATTACTGTTTCTGTGTGAACATTAATCTTTTAAACCTGTTGTTCTCTGTTATTTGTTTATTTTAACCTCAAACCACGAGGGATGATGCACTATTCTATTCTATTTTTAATATGTATTTATTTTTTACTGTCCAGCTGACCAGTCCATAATCCTTAATGTAACTTACATACAGTATGCCCCAATATCCCTTTTATACATTAATCTTCTGCCAGACTTTATCTTTAAACAGTTATTTTTCTGATTGAGAAACTGTCTACATCACAGCCGTAGACTTAAATCAAGGAATGACATCAGTCTATCAAGTCAAGTCCGTTCCATGCTAAAGAATGTTTTCTACAACTCTTCATGCAGAACATCTTCCACAGCTCTGCTGCTACAGTAACCGTGCATCAACACAATGATATGGATTTGATTGATTTATGATATTGAAAGTTTTTGTAGAAACACTCAGGAAATATATCTGTAATATTTGAGAAAAGGTTTTTCATGAGGGTACAATACATGGGGTTGTTACGTCTCAATACAGATTTAAAAAAAGGTAAACTCATAGCAGATTTATGGGGTTTCATAATTACATTATTTTAATGTTAATTTTTTAATTTTAATAATGTTTAAGTAATTTATTCGTCTTCTACTTTTATCCTATTACATTATTATATCCAATTTCTATCGCAATTTTTGGTGCTTTTATTCATATTTGACTTTTTACCTTTTTTTATCATTATAACGCTTTATTATGTGGTTATTTTTATGCTTTTACTTATTTTTTTAAACTCTTTACCTTTTGTTGTTTTAACTGCTTATAACCTATTATTGCTATTGATTGATTTAGTGTGTCCTTCTAAATCCATTTTTTGTTTATATCATGTTTTAATCACCATTTTATGCTTTTTCTTGTTTTGAATCACTGTAAAGCACTTTGTATTGCATTTAATTTGAAAGGTGCTCTATAAATAAAGCTTGATTGATTCATTGGCTCTGGCTCAGTTGGTAGAGTCAGTCGTCTCTACACCGGAGAGTTGAGGGTTCGATCCCTGATCCTTCAGCAACATGTCCGATGTGTCCTTGGCAAGACACTTAACCACAAATGCTCCTGCTGCTTCGTCATGCATGTTATGCTTCTGATGGTCAGCAGCCTCTGCAATCATCAGGGTGTGAATGTGTAGGTGTAAAAGCGCTTTGAGTAATCAGAAGACTAGAAAAGTGCTTTACAAGCTCAAGTCAATTTACCATTTATTTATGTTGCACTGCCTTTACTAACTTAGAAAATATGAGTCTCAAAATGTATCACATGTTATGTAAAATACGCATGATGAAATATACTATGATAAATTCCTGCACATTTTAAGTTCGTTATCCTCTGACAGACCAACACCTGAATGCATCCTTCTTAGCCAGGTTTACAAGAAAACTAGAATTTCGGAATTCTCCCAAGTGTCTGTGAACGCACCACCACTTGCTCTGCACTCACGAGCTGGCTGAAACCCGCCCCTGGGTTTTTTTGCCGACTTCCTAACCAGCCAATAGACAGCAGGCGAAGCAGAGCTTAACCAATGAGGTGTCCGGAGAGGAGTGTAGGGGGCGGGTGTTTCTGTGCAGCAGGCTTCTCTGTGCATGTCTAACAATAGCCTGGGATCGGCAAGTTTACTGTTAAAAAAAAAACCACCCAACCAGGAGGGCGACAGTGCGGAGCAGAGCTGAGCCGAGAGGAGAGCAGAGTTTGCCGAATACATGAGACGGTTTGTCCCGGTGTCGGAAATTATCACCCAACATCCTGGGATTTTTACATTTTCAACCATTCAAGTGGTAAGTGGGGCTTTCGACTTTATTTCTAAACCTGCAGTTTATCTCCTCATCTCCATTCCCCAGCAAGGCATGGTGCATTGTGAATTAGGTGCTCATTAGCCTGTGAATAGGAAGGGGTTAATGGATACTGTAGGCTGGGACCACACTATTATTCCCCCATTCTTTATCTACATCCATTTATTAACGCCCCCCCGGACTCCACAGGCCCCTCCAGTCCGCACACAGCAGACCTGAAGTCGGCCACGATGATGTTATAGCAGTCGGAGGTGGATGGTGGTGGTGGTGGTGTTTATTTTTTTATTACACCGGTTACCTCCCAGTTCACCA